TGTCAAAGCAGATTTTGAGGATGTCTATGGCGAGGCGCTGATTTCCGCACTCCCAGAGAGCCCAGATTGCGAGGATGTCCTAGATTCACTTATGCTCAAACTCACTCGTAATCAGGCTCACTCATATTCAGACTCGCACTCATCATACCATACTCAGACTCACTCACACCCAGACTTACAAACACACTCAGACTCACTCGCACTAAGACCCACCCACCCTCAGACTCATTCGTAGTCAGAGTCACTCGTACTCAAACCCGCTCAGTGCCAGTTTCACATCCATCATACTCATACTCAGACGCACTCACATTCAGATTTCCTCACGCTCAGAATCGCTCACACTCAGACCCACCCTCCCTCATTCACTCGTAGTCAAACTCACTCGTACTCAGACCCATTCAGACTTAGACTCGTACTCACTATACTCATACTCAGACTCACTGGCTTTCGCACCCCAGGGGGGGGGGGGCTGATTGCGAGGATGTCCCAGACTCACTTGTGCTCAGACTCGTACTCATCATACTCATACTCAGACTCACTCACGCCCAGTCCATGCACACCGATGCACATATGGGGAGCTCCACGCAGTGAATGAGTGATTTCCGACCGTGCTGGGCCAGGAGAGCCCTTCCCCTCTTCTTTGCACTAGACAATGACGGTGACTGTCATGTTGATGGCCATGGTATGGTGAGATTATGATGTGAGTATGATGGTGATGGTGAATGATGGATGAGTATGATGATGATGCTGATGCTGAAGATGATGATGCTGATGATGCTGATGATGATGATGATGATGATGATGATGCTGATGATAATGATAATGATGATGATGATGCTGATGATGATGATGCTGATGCTGATGATGATGATGATGATGATGATGATGAGGATGCTGATGCTGATGATGATGATGATGATGATGATGATGCTGATGATGATGATGATGATGATGATGATGCTGATGATGATGATGATGATGATGATGATGATGATGATGATGATGATGATGATGATGATGACGATGAGCAGATGACGAGGATGTCTCGAGCGGCTTGCTGGTTTTAGCACTCCTAAGGGGGGGGGCGCTAGGTGTATTGCACGGCCTCTGTTCGCGCCCAAATGGTGGGGGTGTCTCAGGCGGTTTGCCTGTTTTGGTCCTCAGCGTCCTCCGCTGTCGGAGCAGATTCTGACGATGTCTCGAGCGGCTTGCTGGTTTTAGCACTCCTAAGTGGGGGGGCCGCCAGGGGTATTGCACGGCCTCCGTTCGTGCCCAAATGGCGGGGATGTCTCAGGCAGTTTGCTTGTTACAGTCCTCAACAACCTCCGCTTTCGGAGCAGATCCTGAGGATGGCTCAGGCGAGGCGCTGGTTTTCGCACCCCAGGGGGCCAGAATTCGAGGATGCCTCAAGCGGTTTGCGTGTTTTGGTGGTCAGATTCGTCTGCTGTCAAAGCAGATTCTTAGGATGTCTATGGCGAGGCGCTGATTTCCGCACTCCCAGAGGGCCCAGATTGCGAGGATGTCCTAGACTCACTTATGCTCAAACTCACTCGTGATCAGGCTCACTCATATTCAGACTCGCACTCATCATGCTCATACTCAGACTCACTCACACCCAGACATACGCACACTCAGATTCACTCACACTTGACCCACCATCCTCAGATTCATTCGTAGTCAGACTCACTCGTACTCAGACCCACTCAGGGCCAGTTTCATATCCATCATACTCATACTCAGACGCACTCACATTCATATTTACTCACGCTCAGAATCACTCACACTCAGACCCACCCACCCTCATATTCACTCGTAGTCAAACTCACTCGTACTCAGACCCATTCAGACTTAGACTCGTACTCACTATACTCATGCTCAGACTCACTGGCTTTCGCACCCCAGGGGGGGCAGATTGCGAGGATGTCCCAGACTCACTTGTGCTCAGACTCGTACTCATCATACTCATACTCAGACTCACTCACACCCAGTCCATGCAAACATATGCACATATGGGAAGCTCCACGCAGTGAATAGTTTTCCCTCCCACATCCGCCTGTAGGGGGACACGCCCGACCTGAGTCTAACAGGCTCTTCTCTTCGGGCAGGCCGTGGGGTGGAATTTTTGGGCCCCTCTCGCGCGCCTCTCCGGGCCTCGGCGGCCCCACCGACGGCTCCAGAGTGCTGGGAGACCCTTGGATCCGTCGCGCGTTCGCTGGGCGTCGAGGCCCGAGTGGCCTTTGAGCCGCCGCGTCGAGGACCCTTATGGTCAGTATCGTTTCACCGACCTCCATCCCCATCCCCATCTCCTTGGAGACCCCCACCAAATTACCCCCCCAGTTGGGGATACACCCCTCGAAACCCGAAGGGGACGGCCTATATTCCCATCCAGGGGGGTAAATCAGCCAGTGGGGCCCAGGCCACGCCGCTGGGGATGGGGATTGGTTCAACGATACTCATACGGTGGAGACCCGTGCCAAGAAAGACCCTGCTTGTCTCCAGGGTGCCCTGGGTTTCTTTGGCTTCGATGGTTTTGCCATGAAAAGTGTGACGTCCTGGGGTCTCAGGGTTGGGTTTCTTGCGGAAGGTTTCGTGTGGTCGGGCCCCTATTGTATTGGCTTGTCCTTTTGATGTGATGTTGGTGCGCTCAGCAGCGGGAGGCTGCAGTCGAGCTGCGGGCGCAGTCTCGGGAAATGCAGCCTGCTTGTTTCGGGAATCGCTGGCCAGATAGACACCGACGCTGTCCAGGCCCATCCCGGGCTCAGTATCTAATGCCCTTCGGCCCATCCTTCCATTGTGCCTGGGTTGTGGGTCATAGGCCTCGAGGGTGTTCGTTGGGATGTCACGGGAGGCCTCTCGGGAGCCTTTTGGAGGCAGTTTTGGGGCTTCTTGGGAATCGTTTTGTGGCCCCTTGGGGCGTCTTGGGGGCCTCTTGGGGCCTCTTGGAGGCCTCCGGGGAGGCATCCTGGGACGACATATTCGAATTGTCGATTCGGGCTCCCACTCTTGGGTCCCTCTTGGGGCCGTCGTGGGCCTCTTTTGGGCCGTCGTGGGCGCCTCCAGGGCCGTCTTGGGGTCCCCTTCACGCGGCAAGCCCCGAGAGATTTTAGAGTTTGGTGTAAGGGCCCCTAAAGGAATCCTCGGGATTGAGGACTGAAATCAAAGGATCGAGCAAGGAGTCTAAGGACACTCCAACTCGTGCCCGAGGGCACGGTGGTGGATTTCTAAAACAATATTCTTGACTTGACCTGTTGAGCATACCCATTGTTCCTCGGCATAGGATGCGCCTGGCCTCGGTTTGTGTCAACGTGTAGCGGGTATATAGTTCCCCAGTGCCCTAGAAGACGTCCGCGTTGTTCTGGAGTTCCTTCCGATCTCAGCAGGAGAGACGAGGAGAAGCAGGAATGGGATGAGGGTGATACTTTAGCCGCAGCGTGTGCCAACAGTCGCCTCGTTCTCTTCTGGGGCGTCCTGGGAGCTTCCTGGAGAGCAGAGGGGGGGGCTCTGGCCTTCTTATACTCTGTGGCGCAGCGTACCCGAGTGCCCGCAGAGTCGAGGGTCCTCCATGGAGAAAGCCATGCTTGGAATTCGCTTGCGGTCTCCCCCCTTCCTGCCGCCTTCACAATTACACACTATGAACACTACTTTCCTCTCTCCCCTGATGACGTCCGGAAGATGTTCGCCCCCCCCCCCCCCCCCGCGTACTGTTCTTTTGCACGCAGGATTCCCGGGACCTGGGTTTCCGCTTGTTTTTTGTTCAAAATGTTGCTCGCACTGAAGCGTTGGCCTCCTTTTCGGCCTTCGCTCGTTCCGAATCGTGCTCCCGCTGCATCGCTGGCCTCATTTCCGCGCTTCCGCTCGTTCCGAATCGTGCTCCCGCTGCAGCGTTGGCTTCATTTCCTGGTCTTCAATTGTGTTTTTGGCAGTCAGATTCCTGTCGGTCCTTCAAAATGTTGCTCCCGCTGCAGCGCTGGCCCCATATCTGCGCTCGGTCCTTCCAAATAGGCCGCAAATCAAGAAAATGATCCTGAGAAACAACATCACAGGTGATTGCACATCCGGTATCGATTCATTTAGTTTTATTTTGGCCGCAGAAGGCCCCCCCCCCCCCCTCACACACACACACACACCGTTCGGGACGGCGGCGTTTGGAGGAAGTTTGAAGCGGGAGCCCCGTTTCTGCTTTCCGAAGGCGATGTTGCAAGCAGAGCCAGCGGGTGCTCCGTCAGCCCCGCCCTGTGGGGAGCTTCTTGCGGAGCCCAGGGAGCTAAACAGGGAGCCGCGACTCCAGGCGGGCGCCGACCCTTCGAAGACAATCCACTTGCCCTCCAAGGACCCCGGTGCCCTGCCATGGCATGATGTGCGGTGTTCTATTCTGCGCCGATGTGCGATGCTATGCGCTGCGTTGCAATGCTCTGTGATGCAACGATTCACGACGCAATGCAACGCCATGCTATGACATTCTACGCTGTGCCGCGATCTTCTACGCCATGCCATGCTGTGCTCTACGATGCATCGCGCATCCTCTCGCGATTATTTCCCTGCTCGGCATCCGACTGTGCGAATAGAGAGGAGATCTACGCCAAGGGATGGGAGGGAGAGGTAGGACGTCAGATATGACGCGAGCGCACCTAGCTTGCCCGTCCCCGCTGCCCCGTCCCCCGTCCACCGATCCGTCCCCTCCTCCCCTCCTCCCCTCTCCCCTGGTGCGCACGTCAGCGCTCCCAGCGTACGCAGTGGTGTCAGTATGGCTCGCATACAGAAGTATTTTCTTAGCCTGCACGGGCCTGAGGCAACCTCCAGGCTTGGAGCAAACGGTCCGATCGCAGAAGAATATGCCCTTGAGGGAGGGTACCAAGCGTTTGGCGTTTGCAATTCAACGAAGGGGGTGCGAGTGGCCATCTTGCGTCATGCATGTTGCTTCTGTCATAATTCAATGAAGGGGGTGCGAGTGGCCATCTTGCGTCGTGCATGTTGCTTCTGTCATGTGTGCCCCACGCCAGTGTATTTTTATGGTTCCGACGGCACTACAAGGACGGGAACTTCAATTGGTGCAAAGCTGCCCGCAGAGCCTGCTGTTTTGATATGTTCCTTTGGTACGTTGGCGCCAATGGTCATGAACAACATAAGGTTATGTGCCATTGGCAGGGGCACGAGAGACTCGCGCCACGGTTTCGACGCTGGTTCGTGGCTGTTATCTTCTTCTCACATGTACGGAATATCAGTGACGTGATCTGAAGATGGAAGGGGCGTTGACGAGCCTCGCTCCCTGAAGTCTCGCTCTCTCTCTCTCTGCCTGTCTGCCCGTCTGCCGCTCTCTCTGTCTGTGCAGGCCCCTTTTCATTTCATGTATATTCTCTCTCGTTTGCTCCATTTCCTCACCTATCCAGATCTCTGCCTCGTAGTCCCTCTTTTGCTCTCTCTATTGCCCCCCATTTTTTGTTTTTGGTTTTCTCTCTCGCTCTCTCTCTCGCTTTTTCTTCCCCTATCTCCCTATAACTCGTTCTGCCTCTCTCTCTCTCTCTCGTTATCCCTCCCCTTCTCCGTGTTCCATGCCCGTGATGTGTTTCAACGAGGTTGCTCTGCTGGAAAACGGACCCTCAGCACATCACGGAGCGATCGAGTGTTGCGCGGAATCCTTCGGGAGTGAAAATCCAAAACCAAACAAGGGACCAGGGTCATCCTAATGCTTTCTGATTTGGTCGGGTTTCTGCCCCCTTGTGTTTTTTAGATGTTGCCGTCTCACGGGGCAAGATCTATTTGGAGTGATGCTGGGGCAGTCAGGGTGCGAACAAGCGATTGATTGGCATTGCAATGGCGAGAGAACGGAAGCGGAGCATGAGGACGCTAACAGGAATTGTGTCAGCATGGCAATGTATGAGCGACGCTACGCTTTTCGAGACGGCGGCATTCGACGACTGCAGGGTGGTGGTGGATACGATGGTCGGCGGCCAGTCCGTGGGGAAGTGAGAGGGGGCGGGCCTCCTCAGAAGGCTCGGGAGTCATGTGGCCTTCCGAGAAGTGTTCTCCAAGTCTTCCCCGGAAGCACCGAACCTGTGTCGGAAGGCGCGGGGGGTTCCGAGAAGGCCCGCCGCCTCCTGAGAGGGCCTACTTGCCCCCCCTCCGCTGGCCGCCTCGCCTCCCAGCTCGAGGCCCCCCCCCCCTCCCCTTGGCATCGCTCGGACGTGTGCATTTGTCCTCCGGCGAGGACCATCGAGGAGCATCCTTGATCATTTGGCGAAAAAATCACGCACGAAGTCGAAAAAAACACAGGGAATGGACTTCCGAGCGACGGCGAGCCTCCTCTCGGCCGTCCTCCTGCAGGCCGCGGGGCCGTCGATGCCTTGCACCCTCGGCTGCCCCCCCTCCACGGAGTGGCCGCGCGCGGGCAGCCCACAGGGGCGCGGCGGCGGGGCCACGACGCGGCCGCCCGCCGAGCCGAGCCGACCGACGGCAGCCGACCGCGACGGCAGCCGACCGTCGGCCGCACCGCGGACGACCGGGCCGCCGTGTCTCTCCGCTGCCCCCTCCACGGAGTGGCCGAGGAGCAGGGGGGAAGGAGTAGGGGGGGGATGAAGGCGAGGAGCAGTAGGAGGAGGAGGAGGAGGAGGAGGAGGAGGAGGAGGAGGAGGAGGAGGAGGAGCAGGAGGAGGAGGAGGAGGAGGAGGAGGAGGAGGAGGAGGAGGAGATATGGATGAGCGAGAAGGGGGTACAGATTTTGTGCGCAACTTCAACACCAATCCTGGGGCGTCAGCTGTGAGACCCTGGTGTTGTGTTTTGCCTCCAAGAGCCAAACATGTGGGTCAGCGTGCAGGCGGGACATTTTTCAGGGGATGCAGACACGAGCGGGTCAGCTCTTCCACAAGAGTGCGGGCCAGCGGGAACGTCGATGTCGATGCTGTCGGTGCCCGCACCGAAAGGGTTTGATAAAATTCCGAGGACGTGGGCCCGTGGCAGCGGTGTGGAGACAGGTTGCCAGATCCCGTTCCTCCAGAGCGGTAGTCGAAGATCTGCCAGGACGATCCCATTAAATGTTTCCTCGCCCCCCAACTCCTTCCCTCCCTCCTCCCTTCCCTCCCTCCCTCCCTCCCTCCCTCCTTCCCCCCTTCTCCGCTGCAGCGCCGCAAGGTTCATGAACTATGTTCTGCTGGTCAACCTTACGCTCGTGGTGTGCGAGTCCATGTGCGCCGCCCGCCGCTCAATTCCTGTCTTTCGCGCAATGGGTCCGAGACAGGGTGGTGGACTGGCCGCGACAGCGCAGATCGCTCAGGAGCCAGCGTCAGGTCGGCTGTTTCTTTAGCCGGCGTGCTGCCTTACCAGGATCTGTAGCGTTCTCATATCCCAAGCTGGTTTGATTGCCCTCACGTGGCTGCCTTTTGCCTTCCTTCCTGAGCGAACCGACACTCGACGTATTTCAGCGCTGTCCTGTTCTCTTCGATACACGCATGTATTCACACGGATCGGTCTGTGCGTGAAAGCTATGTGGAGGATGCGCGTGGGCATTCATGTTCGTCATCGCTCAGGCCAGCAGCCTGCAGCAGCCAGAACGGGAGGATAAATGGCGGGAGTAATGGCGCAGAGGGCAAGCCAGCAAGAGAGAGAGAGAAACATATTGCAATGAGGACGTATGATGTTTGTTCCAGACATTCGGCCGCCCAGAGCATCAAGATGGCATGCTGTGGACTTCTGTGGACTTGTGATGCGGTTTCTTTCTGGCCTGGGCCTGGCAAACAGAAGCTCAGGACCTCAAGCTCGCTCCGAGGAAGGGGTCGGGGAGTCCAGGGGCCCACGTCAGGCCAAAAGGAAGCCGCCGGATGTTCCGGCTGGGAGAGAGAGGACTACTATCGGGCGTGGACAGAACCCCCAACAGTGACACGTCGATTAGTGAATTGTCCGTTTTCGGTTTTCGAGAGGGCGCCGTGGCCGTTATTTTCCAGGCTTGCGCCCGCCAGGTTTGGGCCCGAAGTCGTTTTCACTAAACCACGTTTTACTAAAGGGAGGTTTGTCCATCCCCGAGACTACTAGCGCATGCGCACGTATAATACATGTATATGGGTTGGCCAGCGTGGGCCCCACGAACAGTTTGTTTCAAGCAATGCACGTGGTGCAACCTATCAATTCCACTGCTCGCGCAATCGTCCCACCCACGCACCCGCAACAAGGTTTGCGTAACCCATGCGGCGGCGGTTGCCATGGGCGGTGAGCGCGCGAACGCTTGCGCGCACAGCGGCCAGCCAGTCTGGCACAACCGACGCGGCCGCGGTGGCGAGAAACGATGGGGGTTCCCCAGCGCCTCTCACAGGCGGCTCTGGGGCGCGGGCACGCCAGCGCATGTCGGTAATTCGGGCGGGTGCAGTATCATGATGAAGTCGACAACGGCGGAAACGATGATGATGGTAGCGATGTTGTTGACGATGATGATGGCGACGGCAAGGCCATGGACGGCACTGGTGTTGGTCACGCCGATGAAGAAGACGGTGTCCACGTGTCGGCGGGGAAGGCTTCGGAAGGATGTCGACATGCTCGCGCGGACGACGACCGCGCCTGGCGCTCGACGGGAATCGCGCCCCCCCGCCAGCAAGCGCGCAAGGGCTTTCGAATGATTTCGGCACGCGCGCGCGAGAGTCCCGTGTGGCCTCTTTGTGCGGAACGGTTGAACAGCTTGTGGTTCTCGCAGGACTTCGCAAGAGCGCTCGCGCGCACAGTTTTTGAAACCAAGTTACCAAACAATGCTTTTAGATGTTTCGGGAATCTCGGTATCGAACAATCCTCCCGACACCTCAGGTTTTTGATGGATGCCGACATGCGCGCGCGACGCCGCGCGCGTATGGATTTTGTTTCGTGTATGGCAGGGATGAAAGGGGGGGCTCGATAACGGGTTGCTTGGATTCAGATTTAAGATGAGCACTCGGGCAGTGTCATGTGTAAGTATTATCCCACAGGGTCGCGATAGCGCTGAGGGGAGGGGGTGGTCGATCATATTTTTTGGGGGAATGAGGACCCAACTCATGATCGTGTTCACTCGTGAGTTGTCAAACCTACTGCGCGTGCGACCATCCCACCACCCACCCGCAAATGAGTTTGTGGAGCCCATCCAGCAGCGACTGCGATGAGTACTTGGCGCTGGCTGGTGCAACGCTGCGGCCGCGACACCTCGCGCACGCTCGCGCGCAAAGCGGCATGCCGCGGTGGCGCTGGCCGCTGGGGACTTCCCAGCGCGTCTCGCAGGCCACGTTGACGCGCGGGCACATCAACGCGAGTCGGTGGCCCGGGCGGGCGCGGTATCATGGCGGCGTCGACAACGGCAGACACGATGATGATAGTAGCGATGTTCGCGGCGACTTTGACGATGACGATGGCGAAGCCAATGACGGCGCCGATGCTGATCACGCCGATAGCGATGTCTTTGTCCACGCGTCGGTGATAGCCAAGTGTCGGAAAGATGTCGACATGCGCGCGCGGCCCACGCGGGCGAGTGGCCCGCATGGTTGTATTCGGCGGGGATCGCGCCCGCCCCCCGGCACGCGCGCGAATCCATTCGAATGATTTCGTGATGCGCGCGCGAGAAGCCCGCATGGTCGTATTTGGCGAGCACATAGAACAGTTGAATTTTCATACGGATTCGCAAAAGCTTTCGCCATTGTTTGTTGTGTCGTGTTTTCAGAACGCATAGATCTGGAAATCCGTACGGTACCGACGAGTATTTCGTAACTTCAAGCTTGCGCGCGCGACGCCGCGCGAGTGTTTGTGTTGTTGCTGTTGTTTGTTCCTCAACCATCCTGTGGTGTTGGGTCCACGTTTTGAAAAAAAAAACAGCTCCCCGAGCTCCTCACCGATTCGTTCCTCCTCCCCCTCCTCCCTTCCACCATCATCATAATCATCATCCGCAGCAGCATCACCATCAGCAACATCATCATCACCACCATCATCATCGCCATCGCCACCGTCATCGCTATCATCGGTTTGGGTGCCCGCATGCGTCCCCCACAACCCGTAAGGCGCTTCGTGGCCCCATAGGGAGCCCCACCGAAGGCCCCAACGGTGGGTGGGGGCACATGCGTCCGTCACACCCAGTACAACGCTTCGTTGCCCCATACGACGTTCCACCGAAGGCCCCAGTGGGGGTGGCCACGCGCCCGCCACACCCAGTGCAGCGCGTCGTGGCCCCATAGGGGCTCCACCTAAGGCCCCCGCTGTGGTGGCCACGTGCTTCCGCCACACCCAGTACAACGCTTCGTGGCCTCATAGGGTGCTCCAACGAAACCCACGGTGGGTGTGGTCACATGCGTCCGCCACACCCAGTACAGCGCTTCGTGGCCCCATAGTGAGCCCCACCGAAGGCCCCAACGGTGGGTGGGGGCACATGCTTCCGTCACACCCAGTACAACGCTTCGTTGCCCCATACGAAGTTCCACCGAAGGCCCCAGTGGGGGCGGCCACACGCGCCCGCCACACCCAGTGCAGCGCGTCGTGGCCCCATAGGGGCTCCAGCTAAGGCCCCCGCTGTGGTGGCCACATGCTTCCGCCACACCCAGTACAGCGCTTCGTGGCCTCATAGGGTGCTCCACCGAAACCCACGGTGGGTGTGGTCTCATGCGACCGCCACACCCAGTACAGCGCTTCGTGGCCCCATAGGGAAGTCCACCGAAGGCCCCAGTGGGGGTGGCCACATGCGTCCGCCACACCAAGTGCAGCGCTTCGTTGCCCCATGGGGACTTCCACCGAAGGCCCCAGTGGGGGTGGCCACATGCGCCCGCCACGCCCAGTGCAGCGCGTCGTGGCCCCATAGGGAGCTCCACCTAAGGCCCCAGCTGGGGTGGCCACATGCTTCCGCCACACCCAATACAGCGCTTCGTGGCCTCATAGGGTGCTTCACCGGAACCCACGGTGGGTGTGGCCACATGCGTCCGCCACACCCAGTACAGCGTTTCGTGGCCCCATAGGGAGCTCCACCGAAGGCCCCAGTGGGGGTGGCCACATGCGTCCGCCACACCAAGTGCAGCGCTCCGTGGCCCCATGGGGAGTTCCACCGAAGGCCCCAGTAGGGGTGCCTGCATGCGTCCGCCACATCCAGTGCAGCGTTCCGTTGCCTCATATGGAGCTCCACCGAAGGCCCCAGTGGGGGTGCCCGCATGCGCCCGCCACACCCAGTACAGCGTTTCGTGGCCCTATGGGAGGTCCCAGTGGGACCGCCCGCACACGCGCCCGCCACACCCAGTACAGCGTTTCGTGGCCCCATGGGGGGCTCCACCGAAGGCCCCAAGTGGACCGCCCGCATGCGTCCGCCACTCCCAGTACAGCGTTTCGTGGCCACATAGGGAAGGTCCCAGTGGAACCGCCCGTTTGCGTCCGCCACACAAAGTACAGCGCTTCGTGGCCCCATATGAGGGCTCCACCAAAGGCCCCAATGGCACCGCCCGCATGCGTCTCCACAACCCACTACAGCGCGTCGTGGCCCCATAAGGAGCTCCACCGAAGGCCTGGGGTGCCCGCATGCGTCCCCCCCACCCATTACGGCACGCCCCATCACGCGTTGCGTGGCCCACCGGAAGCGGCACCCACAACGCGTTATTCACAGCTACATGTGGTTGGGCCTTTCGCCAGCATAATTTGTTTTTTTTGGGGGGGGGGGCAATTGATGTTTGAGAATTGGCGGCTTTCGATCAACGAGGATCCGCGTGTCGTTTCATTGGACATGGATAAGGGGAAGGGGGATACCGAGTCCCTGTGATATGGAGTGAATTTATGTATGCCATGACTGCTGCAGCTGAACCGTGTGCAATCGTATCATCCCAAAGAGGGCGGATACATCGAGAGCGGTGGTGGTATATTCGGATTTCCATTTAGAATGGGGCAATATATGCCTGATGCAATATGCGTGGAGCAATGTATGTGGTGCGACCTATGTGGGGCAATCCATGAGGTGCAAGCTATGTGGTGCAATCTATGTTGTGCACCCTATGTGGGTGCAGCCAATGTTGTGCAATCCCTGATGTGGAATATAGATTGTGCACCTTAACGTGGTGCAAACTCTGTTGTGCATATCGCCCTGCCGAACTTTGCAGTCGTCAAGTCCACTGCTCGCGCAATCGTCCCACCCACCCGCCCGCAACTTGATGTGCAATATCCACGCTGCGGCGATTGCCATGACGGCTGGGCGCTGGCTGGCGCATCGCTGCGGCCCCGCCAGCTCGCGTCGCCCAGCACGTCGTTGGCGGCACCGCGCGGGCGGAAACGGAGGTGGCGGCAGCGGCGCGCTGGGCCTCGCGCGACTTCTCCAGGGCGGGGGCCCAGCGCGAGGTAGTGGTGGTGGCTCAGAGCTCCCCGCGCCGGAGGGGGACCCCCTCCCGACCCCGCACTTCCTCCCCGGGAGCCCGGCGGCCATCTCGGTGGGCGAGGGCCCCTCTGGCGGGCAGCGGGGGCCGGGCCTGCGGGGGCCCCCAGAGGCTGGGGAGAGGCCCTCGCGACGCCTTCCCTGCTCCTCTCTGGAAGGTGCGGCGCGGGGGGTGGGGTGGCGATGCCAGTGCGACGGGGCGCGGGGGCGCGGTGCTCAGGAGGGGAAAAAACACACAGACACAATTAATCTGCGATTCCCAGAAAATATGGGAAAATATGGGAAATGGGGGGGAAGAGAAAAACCCAGAAAATATGGGAAAATATGGGGGATATTTTTATTTGTGTGTATTTATTTGTGTGTCCCAGTTTCCCTTCAGGTGCGGCGGGAGGACCTCGACGCTCGCAGCGTCTGGTGGGGGGCCCCCGGGGCCCGGCACCCCGCGCCTCCGGACCTCCGCCGGTAGTACTCCTCGGTGGCCCACTCCCCTCGTGGAAGGGGGGGCAGCAGGTGTCTGGCAGTGACGCGGGCCCTTGCGCCACAGGGCCCCCGTCCCCGCCGCTCGAGAGAGAGGCAGCAACTTCACCTCCTTCGTTTACCACCATCGCATTGCTTGTGGTGCCTTTCGTGGATAAACACACACATGTGATTTACATCAGTCTATGTGCATGCATATGTATACGTTCATGTATATGTGTGCGTGTGTGCGTGTGTGCGTGTGTGCGTGTGTGTGTGTGTGTGTGTGTTGTGTATGTGTCGTGTGTTGTGTGTGTGTGTGTGTTGTGTGTGTTGTGTGTGTTGTGTGTGTGTGTGTGTGTGTGCGTGTGCGTGTGCGTGTGCGTGTGCGTGTGCGTGTGCGTGTGCGTGTGCGTGTTGTGTGTGTGTGTGTGTGTGTGTGTTCGGCAAGTGCGTGAGCAAACGCGAGTGCGAGGGATGCTTGTTTGGCGGTGGGATGTTGGGGCAATCTAGAGGGGCAGCGTGCACATATTGTTGGTTGGTTGTGATGGGGTTGGAGGAAAGAATTGCCGAGCTTGCGCCGCACCGCGCAGCTACGAGTACAACGGATGGGATGAGCCTGGTTACATGGAAAATTTGGAGCTCACCTTCTCCTTGGTCTACGTCGTAGAGGTCTGCGGTGTTGCTAGTGCTCGCGTTCTCCGCTGCGTCGTAGAGGTCTCCATTGCGGAGAGGGCACGAACAGATGATGGGATACCCAGTGGAGGGCGTACAACACACGCCACGCAGGCGCATCCATCTGGGGACGAGGTCTCTTGGCGGCAGCGTTTCTGGTTCGTCTCCCCACCTGGGAACCAGCACCCTATGCGGTGAGAGTATATCGGTTTGGTGGGCCCCTCTGAGGCAGTCTTCGAATGTCTTGGATTTGTGCACGGGCCTTCCACCGAGTTCAGGGCGGCCAGAGGCAGTTCCCAGGGGAACGACAAGCGCGATCATAATTCGGGAGATCGTACACTTGCTCTAAACTTTTGACGTCGCGTATCTGTAGCAGCTCGTCCAGAAAAACTATTTTCAGGCACGTGGTTTGATCAAAACGTGAGGAGCATGCCGTGTACCAACGAGGTGGGGAGTAGGACAACCGTCAGACAGAAGCTCAGGACCAGCCTGAATATACCCAAGATTCACTCATACAAACAGTTTCGGGCCTCTTGATCTAGGAGCTCGTTCGACGTTTCCAGTGGCCATCGTTGGACGCTCTCGGGGCCGTTCTGGAAGCCATTTGGGCTATCGTGGGGCATTCGGGGCCCTCTTGGAGCCCGTCTGGACCCCTGTTGTAGCTATCTTGGGCGGTCTCGAAACCATTGATGCTGTGCCTGTCTCATAAGCGCATTGGAAGCGAGACAGGCAAGACAACAAACATCTTGAACGGATTGCGGCGTCTCGGGGGCATCCTCGGAAGGCTCCGTGGCAATCTCAAATTCGCCGTCTTGAGGCCGTCTTGAATCCTCTTGGAAGCATGTTGGAGGCCATCTTGTTTCAGCTTTGATTATCCTGTCCCATCCTTGAGATCATCTTGGGGTATCTGGGGCCATCGCGCAGCTTGCAGCCAAAGGACCATCATGGGCGCTCTCACATCTCACCTCGCCCCCATCCAGACCCAGGGGATCACTTCCTTTTATCACCAGGCCAAGCCTCTAGTCGCGCCGCTTTTCGGAACCGTCGTGGGATGGCCCCCAAGACGGACAACGAGGGCCTCGAAGGCAAGGCAGGACATGACAAGACAATACGTTGCAATATGGCCTCAAGACGATCCAAGAAATTCCACAGACGGCCCCAGAGACGCCGAATACTACCCACGGAGTTGCCCAGAAGCGGCAGCCATCAGTGATTGTTATGTGTTTGCTTTGGATGCTATTTTGGTATACTCCTTTTTGGGCTTCATGGCTCCAACCACGGTCTAAGAGACCCCCAATATCGTCCCAAGGCGGGCCACACTACTCCAGACATGGCTCCAATGTGGCCCAAGTGCCCCAAGACGGCAGGGACCCCCTCCCCCGAAATAGCCCAAAGAGGTCTCCCCTGCTCTCCACATCGTGTGACACCTTCTTAGTTGGCCTCAAGATCGCCCGAACGACCCGAGAGGGCCCCAAGAGGCCCCTAGAAGCCCCAGGAGGCAGCAAGAGGCCCCCAAATGCCCTCAGGAGGCCTCCGAGAGGCCCCAAGAGGCCTCTCAAGAGACCGTGAGCGACATCTAGCAGGCCTGAGCTCAACAAGTCCATCCCGAAAGATATTCACACACCCTCTTCACGTCACTAGGCTATGGGAGTTGTCGCGAGGTGGATTTCCCTTGAGGAAGGCAGGTCCACCTTTCCAGTCGACCGCCGGCCATGAGACTGGCGTGCCCGTACCTCCAAGACGACTCAGGACGACCACACAAGACGAGACAAGAGAGCACGAGGCGAGACGAGACGAGACGAGACAAGGCCTGACAATACTCTGCAAGACTATCCCCCTGCCTGCCTAAGATCTCCCACGACGCACCAAGATGGACTCCGAGAGGCCCAAGCCCTCCCAACGCTTCGAATTTCGCTCCCGAGGAGATGGCCCAAGAGAGGCCCCAGACGGGCCCGCCAGGGGCCCAAGGCGGTCCCCAGGCACTGTTTGAAGACGCGCGAGGGTTCGCCGTCTGAGAGGGCCTTCTGTTTCTCGCTTCGCCCCCTCTTCCTCCTCCCTCCTCCTCCTCCTGCCTCCGTCCCTCCCGCCCTCCCTCCGCCCTCCTTCCCTCCCTCCCTCCCTCCCTCCCTCCCCTCCTCCTCCTCCTCCTCCTCCTCCTCCGTTCCTCCTCCTCCTCCTCCTCCTCCGTTCCTCCTCCTCCTCCTCCTCCTCCAGAGGCCCCACACGAGGCGTGATGCCCGCAGAAGAGCCCCTCCCCCCGAGAGGGAGGCCCCCCCACGAGGCTCTGCTAGCCCAGGCCTCCTAGAAGGGGTCCGAGTAGATGGGGTCGGGGGATCGCGCCGCACCGCCGATGCATCGGCGATGCATTAGCGATGCGGCTCGATGTGCGGCCCAATTTTCTCCACGCCGACGTCGCCGATGCATCGCCGACGTCGCCGCTGCATGGCCGATGCATCGCCGACGTATCGGCGATGCCTCGAGGTCCTCCGACCCCATCTACTCGGACCCCATCCAGGAGGCCTGCAGATAGGACGGGGAGAACTCGTTCCGCGCCCCCGACGGGGAATCATGGGGCTGGAACAGGAGGCTCGCCAAACCAACTACTCCCAGAGGTCGAAGAAGACAAGCAGTGCATAAACATAAACGTTTGGCGGCCCGCGCGGATTCCTTGGATCTGCGCTGGGACCCCCTGGCAGCGCCTCCGGCGCCTCCCCTGGCGCGCGCTGCGCGCCAGGGAGGGGTTTTCAGCTCAGATCCAAGGGATCCGCGCGGACCGTGAACAGTTTATGTTTATGCCGTGTTTTGTTAATCTAAACTCGCCGCCCACCAAACTACGCCAACTCAACCCGAAGGCCCCGATTTGCCCTCCATGTCCAGTTGGGGGGGTCGGGGAACCCCGAGAAAACACATCTGAAGCTCGCACCCCCCCAACCCGAAATTCGGGTCTTCGGGTTGGGTTGGGGTGGTTTGGGAGGTAGTCCTAAACATATGGGGGGGGGATGCGTCGACACCCAGTCGCCCATGGAGCGCTGCTAGGGGCCCGACGGCCCCCAACCTGCCCAGGTGCGTGCGGATCCGGCATCGGGGGCCCATCGCGCGCGCCCCGACTCGTCGGCGATGTGCTGCCGACTCCAGGGCGACGTGTCCGCCCACGCCGGTCCACCCCGCTCGCTGCCCCGCAGAACGGGGGCTGGAGCGGGTGGCTCGCGTAGCCACCTGCGCCCAGAGGGCTGATAGGCTCGGCATCGCTCGGACGTGTGCATTCTCCTTTCGGCGAGGACAATCGAGGAGCATCCTTGATCATTTGGCGAAGCAACCACGCACGAAACCGACAAAAACACAGGGAATGGACGTCCGAGCGATGGCGAGTGGGACTCAGCTCGTGGCGCGAGCTGGGGCACGCTTAAGCAGTCGCATGCGTCGGGTTGCCAACTGCCGGCGTCGCTCAGATCGCTTCCTCATCACTCCTCGGCGGATTCCCCTGCGCGCGGAGGGCCCAGGGAGAGTCTCGCAGCAGCTCCCAAGAGCGCCCGAGATGCCGGTCCATGTGACTGGCCCCGCACAGCCTTCAGGAGGGCCCAGCCATCCACGAGGGGCCCCGAGATTCTCTGGGATACCTTCACGAAGGGAGCAGCCTGAGGCATGGCAAGAAGACTCCGAGATCGTCACAACAGAGAGCCTGCGACGAGTCTGCTCTGAAGGTTCTGGAGGGCCAGGGGAGCTTCCAAATTGTCACTGCCAGCGGATTACGAGGGCCCGGGGGAGGCCCCAAGCAGACCCACACCGTGCGTTCTGAGCATGTTTCGGGCTCGGCGCGGGCGGGGTTAGATTTTCTTCACCCATTCCAGGCTCTGTTAGCGGTATTAATTCCTCACGCTTCGCGTACCCCCTTGCCCCATGATGTCAACCATTGTCTCAGGAACTATCGTGCAGCAGCTGCTCAGCCAGACACACCTTTAAGACATGCGCTAATTTGGACTCTCGGTGGCAGTAAGATGGCTTCTGGATGAGTCCGCCATGCAAACTTGGTCAGCTGTTTCTGAGTGCGTTCAATCCGGTTCAGTCAGAGCAGATTCAGTGTCAACGGACGCACGGGCCTTCGCTCTTCTCTCGAATTCTTATGTTTGTCAGTTGTGGTAGAACTGCCGCCGCGTCTGTACGTCTCGTCGTGTCGTTTGGAATCTTGCTCAGGTTGCACTCCACCTAGTTGTTATCTCATGGGACGAGTACATCTCGTTCCGCTCCAACCAGTTTGATTTTTTTGTTACTTGGCGGGAGGGGGTGTGGGGTGGTGCAACAAAGGGAGAGCGATGCAAGCACATGTGGGTTTCGACGGGAGGTTTAGGCGGGAATTTGAGGGATGTATCAAGCGAGCCTACGCGAAGAGATGATCACAGCGAATGATTAGACGCTAGAGGGAATGCGTGGATGCGCTGCGTAAGGAACTTTCTCCATGATGGGAGCCTGCGACGTCTGAGAGGATTGGCAGGTCCCTAGTGTCCCATCTGCAGAATGAGGTACGATGTAAGCTGACGAGACAGAGCTATGCAATGATTCGTGCTCTGATCAGCAGCAGGAATGGCGGCTGCAGATGGGACACAGCGTGCAACAACTTGAACATACGTAAGTCGTGGCAATATCGAGTCTGCTTTTCACGATCAGTAGGCGCGAGCATCGCGGCCACGGGGGAACGCCCAGCCCCATGGGGTCTTGACCCTCGCCAGCCGAGCGGTTGTAATTGTCAGCTCTGTGTGTTGTGGGGTCGGTGCACTGTTTTTGGAGAGCCCCGGGTGGCGCCCAGGAGCACCACCCCAGGACCACTCCCCGGGCCCGACATGGGCGGGAAGGCGGGGACACTGCGGGACCCCCTCCGGCGACCTGCCCGGCGGGGGAGGGACCAAAGGGCAGGGGCTTCGCTTCGATTCGAGGACGACGTGGCTCGATTTGCACGTTGCTGGCAAACCTCTCCGGGGCCCCGCCCGGGACCGCGCCTCCGGGATCATTCACCGGTCCCGAAATGGTATTCTGACCCGGGATCCCCCCAGGATTAAGTCGGGCGTGTCCCCCTACAGGGGGATTTTCGACGAAAACTTACAAAATACTCAAAAGATACGCCAAAATGGCCAAACAATTATCCCCAAATAGTCCCCGGACTATTTTTTCACTATGTTTGAATATTCCCCCTGTAGAGGGACAGGCCCGACTTGACCCTGGGACCCCCCCCGCGGGACTCCATCCCGGGGGCCCCTCCCGGCGCCCCCCCCCGGACGGGGAGAGGGATCCCTGACGGGAGGGGCCACCCTTCGGCCCGACAGCGACGACGCGGCTCGATGGCACTGATGCTGCAGAGGGTGCGTCGGCGAGCCCAGGGCCAGGCTGCGGGGGGGAAGCGACGACCGGGACTACGACGACGACGACGACGACGACGACGACGACGACGACGACGACGACGACGACGACGACGACGACGACGGAAACTCAAAGTCACACACGCCGACAGTGTCGGCGGATTTGACGGTTCCCTCGCCTCCTGTCTGTATCTTGGAAACGGCGAATTGTCATGAACATCTTAATTGGGAGGTCCGCGCGGATTGCTCGGATCGGCGCTGGACCCTCCCTCCATGGCGCGCGGAGCGCCAGGGGCGGCGCCAGAGGCGCCGCCAAAAAGGTCCGGCGCGGATCCGAGAAATCCGCGCGGACCTCAGAGTTTTTATGTTCATGTCATTCTTCGTTCCTCTATAGATGCCCCGTTCCTCCTGGAGGCGGATTGACGGCGTGTGAATCGTCAAGACGGGTGTAGGTCTCTTTTCTTTCGTGCGTTGCCAACAGGACGGCATGCCCGTGTGGACCAGGGGTCGCCCTTAAGCCCGTCCGCGTCGGCGAGGAGGGATCTAAGGGATGAGAGGGGGCATGCTGCATACCTGGAGGCAGGCGAGAACATGCGCGCTCTTTGGGTGTATGATTTTCGATGAGCGACCTGGAGCGTCCATCACTGCGCACGCAAGCGAGGGACAGAGTGTGTGTGTGTGTGAGAGGAAGAGATAGAGATATGAATTTGTGGGAGGCTACTGTTATGCTCATCGATATTTGATGAGGTTCGCTGCCCCCTGCTTGACTCCATGCGAGCAGAGTAATGAGTCGCGCGGGAGTGTTCATTCGAGTAAGGTCATTCGGCCGCGTCTCCAGAGGCATCTCCCTAACAATCCCCATCAATGCTGTTTCCTTACACTGTGGTTTGCCAGATTTTCCGATGTCTTGCCCGCCCGCGTTTTTGTTAATGTATGTTCACGCGTACAGCTGGCGCGAGGGTTAAGACCAAGCCTCGGTTTGGAAGCACATCCATCATCTTCGTGATTAGGCTCGCTGGCTGGGAGTGGTCTTGGCTTGGGGTATTTCCTTGTGGCTTGGGCCTTCGGCGAAGGTGTTCGTGTTCTTGAACCACGCTTTTGCAGGCCATGTGTCAACTGCAGCAATAGCATGGTGATGGCTCGTCTTCGCACTTGCTCTTCGACCCTTTGCGACATCACTGACACGCCATCTGGTGTCCGATCGCCAGCTGCAATCCCCCCTGCTCCTGCAGTAGATTTCGGCGGCGAAGGAGAAGGCCTTCTCAGAAGGCGGCGGGTGTTCTCAACAACCATTCGAACTTCTGCGAGGTTTTCTGTGTCTTCGGGGCAGGCTTGGAAAATTTCTCAGAAGGCCGGGTGACTTCCGAGCCTTCTAAGAAGGCCCGCCCCTTCTCGCTTCCCCCCCACTCGCTCGCCGCCGAACATTGCCCTCGTGCCACATCGCAAGCTCATGGTCTCGTTGGTTGGCACGGCAACTACGAATGATGCCCACTTCTCTTACACGACAAGTTCGCGTCTTGTCGACGCGGCGGCGTCCCCAGCGCGGGCGCTCAGAGTTGATCGCCGCGGCCAATATGCAAAGGTTTTGCGGTCGGGGAACCACTGATCATTCAAATTTGAACGATCCACGCGGGTTCGGGAGGCAACGCCCGAGGAGGAGGAGGAGGAGGAGGAGGAGGAGGAGGAGGAGGAGGACGTCACGACACGAATCCGCCGTACTCCGGGTGCGCATTTGGGCCCGACGGACCCGCCGAGCGGCCCCGGCTCTGGCGCCCCCCCGCCGGCCGCGCCGGCATGCGGCCTCATGCTCCCGCGGGGCTCCGAGGAGGCGCCGGGGCCGTCCTCGACAAGCATCTCCTCCTCGACCCATGCTCGCGGGTCGTCCAGAGCGGTGTTGCGTTGCAGCGGGGGCCCATGCCAGGAAGCACCCCGCTTGCCTCCAGGGTGCCCTGGGTTTCCTGGGTTTCGCCGATTTGGCGATGGAAGGCGTGGCGCTCCCTCGCCAAAAGTCCATGGAGGTCCTGGGTCCTCGGGGTTGGGTTTCTTGTGGAAGGTTTCTTTTCTTGGCATCGCTCGGACGTGTGCATGTTTCCTTCGGCGAGGACCATCCAGGAGCATCCTTGATCATTTGGCGAAAAAAAAACGCACGATACCGAAAAAAACAGGGAATGGACGTCCGAGCGATGGCCAGTTTTGGACTGGCCCCCGCTGTACCCAGTGCCCACTCCGCCAACATGCCTGGGTCGTGGACATGGAGGTGTCATAAGGGCTTCTGGGGGGCCTGCTCGCAGTCTCGGGGGCCATCTCGGGGGAAGGGTTCGGAATGTCAGTTCGGATTCCCCTATTGGGTCCTATCAGGGCCGCTCGGGGGTCTCTTGGGCCTTTTTGGGGGCCTCGGGGGTCGTCTTGGAGCGATCCTTGGGCCTCTTGGGTCGTTTCGGGTGTAGTCTGTTTGCGCTGCTCAATACAGGGAGCCCCAATTTGACCTGGGGACACTTCATCACTGCCTAAGGTACGAGAGGGGTTTCATGTTCGGAGCATGAGATCCTGATCCCTTCGACCGCCCTCCATCCCAGACCGAAGAGCCTTCCTTTTTACTGTTCCGGGGTCGGGGGACGTGCCAGGGCCAAAATTTATTCTCGAAGTGCCTTCCTATAGCTAATGCCTTGTAGCAAATGCTTCTCAGCGGTGTGCGCGCGGTTGTACCAAAATTCTGGTGGCCGCAAACTTGTAAATTTTAGTTTCCGGAGCCTGAGTCCTGAGTGTGCCCTGCGCGGCCATTCTTCCCAGAGGGCCGCTTCCGCCAGACCGAAGGCCAGTGTTTGGGGTATGGGAGCGGGGGTGGGGTGGCTACATGCAGGTGTGCCCTGCTGTTAATTCACTTGTTCGATGCAGCCCTACCTCTACGGACAATCCGCTGACGTTCGATCGAGACTGTATGTGATGTTCGGGAGTGGGACAGTGTTTTCCTGTCCAGTTTAGGGAGCGCAACAGCTCGGACGGTAGTTCGTCCAGGCCCAGCGGCGCTTTACTGCCGCTCAGGCCTCCCTCGCGTTGGCAGGAGGTGCCGCATACGATGCAGAGGTGGAACAACCCTACCCTTTACGCTGTTGGTAGGGGCAATAGCGCACCCCTTCGGATGCAACTCCCGGGAGGTCTGATTCTGATGTTGCCCTTGGTTTGCAATCTGGCTTAAAGTCCAGTTCTATCTCGCCCAATCGGTCTTAGTCCCGTTCCCTGGGCATCGCTCGGACGTGTGCATTTTTCCTTCGGCGAGGACCATCGAGGAGCATCCTTGATCATTTGGCGCAAAAAACACGCACGAAACCGAACAAAACACAGGGAATGGACGTCCGAGCGATGGCCAGTTCCATCCGGCTTCATTCCGCTCAATCCGCGGCCCAATCCGGCGTGGCAGCCCCCCCTCACTGGGGCTTCGTCCTCCTCGGACCCTCCGGCGGAGACCTCCCGGCAGTTGCCTCCGAGCACCCCGCCCGCAGACCCGAGCGCAAGCGGCGCCGGCTGCGTGCACGCGTCGGCGTGCGCGCCTCGGCACCGGGAACACGAGAGGTGGGGCCTCGAGGCGTCCCCTTCGGCGGCCCAGTGCCCAGGGCTGCGGGACAGTTGCCAGCTGCTCGCGCAGCCCATGCAGGAAGACTGGAAGGCCAGCACCGATGTGCCAGCGTCGATCGGCGGCGAGCGAGGGGGGGGGAGGTGAGAAGGAGAAGGCCTTCTCAGAAGGCGGTGGGACTTCTCAAGACCCCTCGGGCCCTCTGAGAAGTGTTCCGTGTCTCCCGGGAAGGCTTGGGAAACTTCCCAGAAGTTTGGGGGGTTTCCGAGCCTTCTGAGAAGGCCTTCTCCTTCTCACTTCCCCGCCTCGCTCGCCGCCGAGTTGAGCATCGAGGCGCGCCTGGAGGACTGCCTGCGGAGAGGCCCCAAGGTGAGCAGGCGAACGGAAGGCGTGATGAAGGGCGTCCCAGGCGGATTGCTCATGCCCAGACGGGGTCCTGACTGTTCTTGGATGCGACGCATGACCTTCGTGGGTCCTCGAACCGACAGGGCCGTTTTTGTCACCGATCCCGTTTTGCCGTTTTTCTGCCGGCTCCGACGCCGTTTTTTGTTTTTTAGCCGGATCGGTCGCTATGTTTGTTGTCGGTTCTGCCGTGTTTGGTCGCCGCTTCGATTTGCAAGAGACACTTTTTCGGAGACGTTGAACAAACGGCCCTGCCGTTTGCGGGGCCCATTCAGCGCATGACATGAGCAAGGCTGCTAGCGCATTATTGCAGCATCGGGATGTACCTTCCGTCGTCGTCTGGATCCTCCATTGGATCATCGGGCGTGCCGCGATCTTCGTCGGGATCTTGAATGGGGTCGCCGCATATCTGGTGGTACGCGAGGGTTGTGCAGTCTGGAGTACAGGGCAGTTTTTGATACATAGGATTTTTAAACATATACGTGTTTAATGCATGCTTATGGTATGAACAACTTTATGCATGAGCTCATCGTTGTTTTTAATTTTAATCCTTGCATTTTTAATACATGATCCGCACTGGGAGCATGTATAAAACAACGGCACTGTAGTGTCTGTCTGCTCGGATGGCGCGGTCCAGTTGTTTCCGAAACCGTGCTCCTGGTGCGGTGGGCTTGCGTGGCGGTGCGTCAGGCGGCAGTGGTGGTTCTGGTGCGTCGCTCGGATGGTCTGCCATGGTGTGTCTGGGGACTGCTGTCTTGGCAAGCCCTCGGGTCGTCGTTGCTGGCGTTGACCGTCCGTCGCTTCTAGATTCTGGTGGTGAGGGCAGTCCGGCGATCGAGGTCAGCCCGTTGACTGGCTGGCCGTGGGGGCGTGAAGGCACGTCTCCGATCGGTGGTCTGCACTGGAGTCGCACAGACGGGTGCCCACGCCCTAGTTGGTGGTGCTGAGGCCGTGAGCCCCCGCACCCTGGTGGGGCGGAGTAGCGGCCCTGTGTCAGGAGGGGAACACACACAGACAGACACAGTTCATCGTCGGCCCCCCAGGAAGTATTGGGAAATACTGGAAGTGGGGGGGAAGACAAAAACCTAGAAAACATGGGAAGATATGGGGACTCCTGTGATTCGTGTATCCTTCTGGCAGGGCGCGCTGCGCTGAGGGCCTGGGCGTGCTGCGGCCAGCGTTCAGCCCATCGAGTGGAGGCGACGGCAGCGGCCCACCACTCTCGTGGGGAGGCGGCGCCGCGCTGGCGGCCCTTCCTTTAGGTCGGGCGCGTCCCCCTACAGTCGGGGGAGCGTAAGACCCGGGTTTGCCGGGACTCGGGTTCGCCATCGTTTTTTGACGACCGCGACTCGGATTTTGACGAGGAGGAGTTTCGTGGGATGTCTGCAGCGGGAGGCCTCGTCAAAATGCAGGCTCGGCCTCGTCATTTTTTTGACGACCTCGTCGGGGATTTCCGAGTCCCCCGTACCCGGGTCTTACGTCTCCCCGATACAGGCGGATTTTGGACGAAAAAGAATAAATGCCCCCCAAAATGGTCAAACCTGCTCAAAGCTAGTCAAAACATCGCCCCAGTCCTCGACTCCCTCGCCAGCCCCACGCAGGTCCTCTCTCAGGCCTTCTCGGGTCGGGCGAAAGGGGGGGATTGGGACAGGGGGGGTTACGAAATTTGCTGCTTGCAGCTGGTTTCGGCCTCACCGAGGGGCCCATTCCTCGATACATGGTCGCCTCCGGCGCCGGGAGGCGCCGGGAAAACCAGCTACGCGAGCTGATTCTC